TTATCTTTAAATAATAATATTTTAAATTTAATATGGCATACCCGCGGAAGAGAAAGTCCATATATAATTATATAAATATATAGAATTATATATGATTATATATAGACCTTTTTTCACGGGATATATATAAACTTTTAGATATGAAAAGACAAAGCATCAATTTGCGCCATCAAATTGCATTTTTTACAATCAAAGGAAAAATTAGTCGCATTACGTTCTTTCTTGGTAAAATAAATATTGACAGTAAAATTCTTATTACATCATCGTATCCTTGCTTTATTTAAAGATTATGCCTATATATTCGTATGTATGATGATATTAATTAGTTTGTAATACATTATATTACTTACGGTTAAATATGTAAGAAAATCAATATATGACGAATCTGTGACCGAGAAAGAAAAAAAATGTGATTTTTGACACGTTCGTTCTCTTTGCATATAATTTGTGAATACGACTTCAATGTGAATGGTATTGCTTGATCACGTACGAGTTCTACTAACGGTTTGGCGTGTGCTAATTACACAATAATGTCCACCAATTAGAAATCACTAATGCACCTGTGTAACAGTTAAATGTTTCACGTATCACACATTGTTTGAATTAAGGTCGATATAGTATAATATATTCATGTCATTGATCATATAACATTTATTTGATAATGATTGCGAGTAAAATTTTATAAAAGTAAATGTGAATATAAAGATTTCAGATGGTTAAATTACAACTACTGTAATATATGTTGGATACACATATATAACATCATATATAAAAATAAATATTTATGTATAATTTTTACAATCTCTCTTATAATTCTTCAACGATATAATATGTTAACGAGATAATAGACAATTGCCACTTATAAGATAATACTTTGCTACAATAAACTAAGTTAAATAAAAATGAGATAAAAATCCATATTTACAATACAAATATTTATGTAATATACTATCTATATTGTAATATATTATTAAATGTCACTATCACTAAAAGAAAAGTCACCGTTAGTCTCTCCAAGATCTTGATAGCATCCGTTCTTCTTTCTTATAAGGTCTCCCCAGAGAACACTAGTTTTGCACATAGGACAAGTACCTTCAATCGGTAAGATCATTCTATCCTTGCTGAATACTTTTGCTAAGCAGATTAAGTGTGCAATCAAGAGACAACTTGGTTTTATACAAGCAACAGAATCTTTCTCCACCATACTTGAGCCGCAAAAAAAACAAAATATTGGTGACTCTTGTGATAAAATATTATCTGTTTTTATTCTTTGTCTTGACTTAACTTTACATCTCATAACTTTGCCATAGCATATAGGCATGTGTAATGGTAAAGATATACATCCATGATAGCTCTTAGAAAATTCATAGTCCAACCAACGCAATATCAAGGGTAAGCGGCACCAAGGCCCAACTTTGAACATTTCAGATAGAACTGTTAAACAGAAATCAAATTTATTTTGGGTTGACTTCTTTTTGGGAATATGTTTTAGCCGCCTACTCTCGTGTGGATGCTGCCAAGCCCATTCAAACTAAAATGCAATGCCGTATATTTAAAAACATAGACTATGTTTACACATCATCTAAGGTATTAGTTATTCCATTCTTCAAAGGAATAGCTGTGATTGACCAGTTGTAGAACCATGGATGTTATTAAATCCAATTAAGGCTGACGTGTAAACATAGTCATAAATCTATTTTAAAAGATGTATCACAACTTGCTTATCTTCTATTGCTGAAAACTTACTCTGAGTGCAGAAGTACTATTAGGGAATCCATGAACAATCAACACCATATTCCTGAAAATAATTATTGGGATTCAGCATTATATGCATGAAAAGTATTTATTTCATCAATTTATATATTAACAAAATTGATATGTATGAATTTATTGTATAATAAGAAAAAATCCAGTTTATGCTCACCATGGTCCTTTCTTGCTAGTTTTCCAAGCCCCACCATGTTTTTTACCAGCATTATGTTGTTTAATCCTGCGCCTTGGATCTACAGTGTAACCTATATATGTTCTACCACGGTACTTTGGATTGGTGCAATACAGTAGATACACTCCAAAAAAATGCTCTACCACTTCGGGCTCTTCTTTCATCATTAAGCATTTCTTAAATTCTCGAAGATTTAACGCAAAAAATTTATTAGCGTATTTAATAGATTTTTTTTATGACGTGCGAGCGAGAGAGAACGCAAGGGGCATGAAACAGAGTATGTCCTTTTCTACGTGCATCTTTACCCCCACTCCTTAAATAAAGGCAAACGCTCGGTCTAGATATACTATGTCTATGGTGGTCGGTGTGCATTTGTGCATTGTGCATTGCCATTGGCCTCCTCCTCAGGTGCGTTCCGAAATACTACCCGTGGATTAGAATAGATTCTAATTGACCAATCAGAAGAAAGAAATCTTATTTGGTCAATCAAATTTTACCCTACGGGTAGAATTTTCGAACGCATCATTACCAGCTATCCTTTTTGTATTTTCGTACATCGTACAATGTTACGCGTTACATCCACAAGTTTAAAAATCAATGGCCGCGTTCGGCAGAGAAAGCGCTCAGGGGCCTAATTCTTGAATTCATTCGCAAGAGAAAGGTATGAGCAAATTCCATTCTTATGAGAAATCTACAAGTTGATTGGCTAAAAGCCATGCAATAACCAATCAACTTGCAATTTTTCTGTAAGAGCAGAATGTGCGCATACGTTTCTCTTGCGAATGAATTCAAGAATCGAGCCCCAGTTATCGTCGTCAACACTCGACATTGGTTTGTCTAAAAGTAAGAGCCAATCACGTTCGATTGCTACTGAACGGTTTTCTTTGTTGAACGCGGCCTATGCGTCAGCTGAGAAAGAAAAAAAGATAGCTTCACAATGCTTTATAAGGAGAGATGTAGAGTATTGTTGTTTGTTTTTTTATATCCTCTTTTATATCCCCTTCATCAATATTTATAAATTTTAGTAATCTCATTTAAAGATATTTTAGGGGAAACTTTTTAAATAAATCAGGCAATTTTTTTTGCCCTCCACAGTTGTATTTGGTGTGACCTAGATTACAATGAAAGTATTTAGATATATAACACCGAGATAATTTTCAATAGATTACTTAGGTATCTATGCAAGATACATATAATATTGTATAAGTATAGATGATACAATTTATAGCACAATTTGGTAATATTCGACACAGTCGCTAATATAAACATTTAATATATTCGCTTTATTTTGCATATTTCTGTTTTTTTTGCATCCTTTTATTTTATACACGTAGAATACCGCATAACGACATTGACAATATGTATGTGTGTGTGTGTGTGACGCGCACACACACATTCATTCTTTTGTATCGTAGTGTTATAGAATATAGTAATAATACATATCGTAATATATCGAATGTTGCAAAATCTGCTCGCGTTCAGTGTGTAACATTTCGATCTTCGTCCTTCGATTATTTAATACCGGTGAAATATCATCTCGTCAAATTAATTTTTAGGCGAATCAAAACAGTAGTGAAAATAGACACTACTGACAAAAAATTAGATGGTTGCGCCAAAAATTCTAAACTCGATATTTCACACATTTATTACGAAATCGTCAAATTATTTACCAACTCTCGCGGCACATTTTCTGATAAAATCCATAGAATTCTATTCAAATTAGAACGAGGATTAAACAATGATGGCCAAATTAACGTTAAATTAGATAAACACATCGAATCGGAAAAATCCTTTGTCTTTTCTTTTTCTCGCTTTATACATTGAACTATATGAAACTATATGATGTTCTGTCATCTTTATATCAAATGAAAATCTTTATAATATGCAAAAAAGAAATGTATATAAATTTCTTCTTTACAATAATTTTTTTGGACTGAATCATGCGACTTCTGAGAATAGCGGGTACGTTTGTTCCAATAGGATAGATTTCATTGGTAAAATCTCAATCGATCACATATTCAAGAAATTTGGCGACTATCTACAAAATATTGATCTGAGCGACGAATTATATGGCCTGTAATCAATTAAAAATTATAATAATTCGAATTATACAACTCGACAGAAATCCACATAAAGACATTTTATGTGGACATAAAAGATTCGTTTAAAACTTGATTTAAGAATGTACGATTATTTCCATGAGAAATAATCCGTGTTTAAAAGCAGAACAAAATGAACATTTGTTGAAAACTTTCGGCTTTGTGTGCGTTTTGTTCGTCTCCGAGAAAAATTTTTTCTTTCGCGCAACTTCAACGGGAAGGACGATGACGACGATGATCCTGCAAAGTGCTTCCAACGACGGTTTAATTCCACATTTCTAACAGTATTCTTTTACATCGAATTTCTCTATAGATCAATCTAATACGCATGGTTGGCGACGAAAAGTGCTGAATCTCCCGCGGCACCAGTAACACCACCCGCATATTTGCCAAGTGCCGAGTCGCTGTTAGCCTATTAAAAAACAGAAAAGATATAGTTTTATTTGTGATACTGATGAATGTGTCTTTCAAAAAAGTTCGCAAAATAAAATTTCAAGATAAAAGAAGATATATTCGAGGGCATTTCTAAACCAATGCTGCAAACAAGTTTATGCTAATCTTTCTCAAATATTTTAGAAGAATTTTATAATTTTAGAGAATTTAATTGCGTTTGTGTGTGTATATGTGTGTGTGATATTAATTGTAATGGAATTTTATTAAGTATAATTAATTAGGATTAATAACAAGTTTAAATCATTTATAATTTATAAAATTCATTTGTCCTATCATGAAAATAAAAAAAAATACACACACACACATACATTGCAATTAATGCATACATACATACAAATATATAAACGAATAAATTATTTCGTCAGCTGCATTGATAAAAAATAATATCAATATAATCTCATTATTGAGAAAATTTCGAGAAATATCGTGAATTACATTTTTGTACCGTAAGAAGAATAAATTAAAAATCTATTATTCATTACAGCAAATAAATAGGATAAAGATTGCAAGAAAAGCCAATATTCAAGATTAAGATCCACTATACTTACCGCCATAGAAAACGCAAAAAAGTAAATTTTTTTTTTTTAGTAGGCATGAGATTTGATGTAGAGAGAGGTGTCAGCAGCTTTGCTAGAAATGCTGCCAGCGACGTATTTACCTTGACAAGCTGCAGAGTTTGCCTACATAACAAGCATACATTACATAGACATGCAAAACCAATACGCGCTGCACAAGTAAGTGATTAAAAATGATAGTTACAGAAAACTAGAAGATTTTTTTTTAACAATAAAAGAAAATTGCTTGCGTTGAGTATATACAAGAAATGGAACAATAGTGCAAAGATAATTCAAAACAGAATTATTTTGAAAAGTGACACAGAGATCGAAAGACAAACAGTTAGTGACAGCTATATATAGATGCAGAGAATAAATAAATAAATAAATAAAAGACGTAAATCTAAAACATAAATAGATTAATTAACAGATGGAGCAAACTCAAATTTACACATGCAATCTAATTATAAATACTGTCAACTCTCCATTACTATAAGTATAAATTACATATAAATATTTAATGAAGTATCGAAAAGAATAAATTTGTATTTTTTAGTTAATCTTAAACCTTAACATTTCCGAAAAAAAATAAGTTTTAAATTTTCTAATGTTTTCCAATATTTATAATATTCCGATAGTTATAATATTGTATATATTATTTGTTTTCCATAATCAAATTGATTTCACGATAAAATAATGATGTTGATCAGAAATTACAATAGTAGCTGAGAGTTGTAATAACAATTAACGAATCTTTATCGTGTTAAATATTTGAACAAAAAGTTTCCTGACATTTTATCATGTGTGCTCAGCACTATGCTGACCGGCAGCGACCTGATCAGGCTTGCCTTGCCAAGCGCGAAGTACGGAAGCCTGAAGAGCACGTCCGTAACTAAAGGTCAATGCCCAGGGTTTCTTTGCCGGGTACTTATTGATGGCGTCCAGATTGACCGATGCCTCCTCCTCAGACTGACCACCACTAAGGAAAGTGATGCCAGGTACCGCCGGTGGCACAGTGCGCAACAACGCCGTCACCGTGGCGGCAGCGATCTGCTGGGGTGTCGCTCTCGTCGGGCAACTCTGGCCCGGTGTCACCATGTTGGGCTTGAGCAGTGTTCCCTCGAGATATACATGGTGATCTGAAAGGGCCTGAAAAAATAGAAATGGATATTATCAAAACTTATTATTATGTATAACGAGTTAAGTCATTTTTTATGAAAACGTTAAAAGACTACGATTTTTCAATAAATTCATCGTGTATAAGTGATTCTCTAAACAATATCTTATCTTGGAAAATTCTCAAAAAGTTATTAGATATTTCATGTATGTGTCTTTCATGTATAAGTCTTTCAATTTAAAATCAAGCGTCATTTTAATATATAGAACATGATAATAAGAATCTGGGAGACGCAAGCTGTTTGTAAATAACGTAAAGGTGAGCTACACCTTGTAAACGGCCGCAAGGACCTCTTCCGTGACCTGTTGGCAACGGGCGAGATCATGGTCACCGTCGGGAAGAATCTCAGGCTCCACGATCGGTACGATCCTAGCGCTTTGACAAATGGAGGCGTAGCGGGCCAGAACATTGGCATTCTCCAGGATGGCAAGCTTGCTCGGCGTATCCTTTGTAATTTTCAACACGCATCGCCACTTGGCAAAGTGGCAGCCGTCCTTCTTGTACTGGATGCAACGCGCCTGGAGATCATCGAGACCCTGGGTTGTGCATTCGTTATCCGTGCCGAATAACGAAACGACACCTTTATCGACCTTGATGCCGGGGATAATGTTGCGCTGCTTCAGTAGCTCGACGAACGGCGTGCCGTCGTCGGCCTTTTGATAGAGGGTCTCGTGGAAGAGAATCACTCCGGAGATGTGTTGTCCAATGACATCCTGAGGAGAAGCGAGGCCAAACGTATTTATTACGATCGTGATGTTTCGCTCGAGCGAAAATTTAAAAAATTCTTTCAGATAAATTTAATAGTTCATACACATTACATTGTATAAATATTCTCTCTCTCTCTCTCTCTCTCTCTCTCTCTCTCTCTCTCTCTCACTAAAAGTAGCATTTTTTTGGTGCAAATTCTTTAAACATGAATCGAAAATGACGACCACCTACCTTCGTTGTAGTGAAAAGAAGTTGTCTATAAGCCTTGCGGTTCTCCTCGGTGTTCTCAACGTTGATATCCTGAAGACGTTTACCAATCGTCGTGGTCGACTCATCAGCGGCCAGGATACCCCTGCCGGGTGCCACAATCTGTTGGGCGATCGTGCGTAGTTCCTCCATCAGCTCGGGTTCGAGCTTACTGTACTTTTCTGCGACCATTTTCTGTAACGCACGAAGTAGCGTTTTATTAACTAATCGTATATATATAATACAATATATAATACAATATGATGATTAAAAGTTATTCTCAGAAGTAATCTTGATAATATCGAGATCAAATTGCGTCTTGGTGAATCGAGAAATAACCAAAAATGATGCAAAAAGTTAGCTGAAAAGTTAACTCGAACCATTAATGGATAACTGTAGTCCACTCCTATATAGATAGAAAAAAAACTAATTTATGGAATTACTGATGCCTTAAAATTGCCAACCTATCGATTCAAGAAGGAATTCGAAGGAATACTCGACGATCTGTAGCGTGCTCTTTTATTGGATTAGATACGAGAATGTGCACGTCCGTCGTCGATTAATGAAATGTAGATGAAACATTGTAGAGTTTTAATATTACATATGACATCGAAAGATTGTACCGTAAAATGAAAAGTTGATCTCAACGCCTCTGTCGAATCACATTATGGGGCAACATTATACGATATATGTGTATATATACATATATATATATATATATATATATATATATATATATATAACATAAATAATAATAATAAAAATAATAATAATAATAATAATAATGCTATAATAATAACAATAATATTTTACGCATGTAAACTGAATTTATTTACCGGTATGCTGGAGTAATTTGTTTAATCTTGATATTATTTATGCATATAAGTGGCGCGAGAGGAAACATTGCTATGCTTGCTCTTGTTTTGAAAAACTTTCTCTGGAGTGTAACGTTATATCCATGGTAGGGTATAAAGATGAGAATTTATGATCACGAAGAAATACGAGACTGAAGGGAGTGTAGAGTTCATATCCGGTTGCCACTGTGACAAGGGTTGCTATGAAATGGCATGAGCTAAAATTGCGAAAGTTTAAATTTGTTCATTTGTACATTTAATTATATTTTTATACGCGATTATTAAATAAAAACCATTTTGCGCACTGTAAATATGATGCAATTCATGTATTTCAAGATGTATGTAGAAATTAAATTCTTTTTTTCCTATTAATAGAAATAATCGCAAGAATTATTTAATTTAAAGAATTACGATTTTTATAGATATGAAATCAAATATTTTTTTACGTAAAATACACTTTCGATAAAATAAATGTACGTATATCAGAAGGCATTGAGCATTATTTATATGATTACAATAATTGATTCAATTAGAAAACAACTATACACTAAGAAAAAAAGTTGTTAACTTGACTAAATTCGTCCAACTAAATACTATTTCTTTGTATTTCTTTAATTGAAATATTTAAATATTTAAGTCAAATACGACATATTAAATCTAACATGATGTATATTTGACTAAAATACTTAAATATTTCAATTAAAGAAATATAAAGAAATAGTAATTAGTTGGACGAATTTAGTCAAGTTAACAACTTTTTTTTTCTCAGTGTAAGCACTCGAAAAAAGAATATAATCCATTGTTTGAAAATATTAGCACAGGTTTTCAAGTACGAGCTAAATCCTCGATCACGGTCCCCGACAAAAACTCCTATTTTTATCTTTCTTGCACGAGATAGTTATAAACTGCCTAAAATAACTACCGAGTTAAACCACGCTAAACGGTTTCCACGCATAGTAATATAAATATGTGATTACATTAATGTAATTACAATACATTATATAATGTGTAATTATATTTTATAATGACTTATTTAAAATAATGCGAAATTTTTAAGCTTAACTTTGATTTTAAATTAAGTTTTAATCAATAATAATAAATTATTTGCATGGTGAGATATATAATGTCATGTATAATTATTATTTATATATAGAGAATATATATTTCGACATAAATTGATGTCCGAAAAAAATAAATTTGTCTTGCATGCGTTGCATGATCTTGCGTAAATTGCTTTCGTGGCGTAATGCGATGTAAAGATGTTTGCTGAGCCATGCGCATGTCAAATTGGACAAGGATATCTGATCATATATATTTGCTTAATTATATATATGCATCATCCTTTTACCGCGTCTTATGTTGATAGTCACAATTGTGGGGCTATGTGTGTGGGAAGCAACTTTTGGAAAAGCCGTTTGTCGGGTTATTGGCGTTTTTTTTTACGTTTGCGAACCGAGCCAATTCTCACATTATTCAATCGATATGTGTATGTATGTATGTATGTATGTATGTATGTATATACACACAAGGCTGATGGAAGAACGTGCTGCGGTTGACCGATGTGGAGGTTTGCGCGAGATACGCTTGCGCCGTATTTCCTAGCTCTAGCTGATTAGAAAAGGTTCAAGGCGTTCAGCTTCATAGGAGTTCTTGAATTCTGCACGCATTCACTATATCGGAGTACACGGTGTGTTTACAGAGTTCGCGATGCTGACTTCGTAAACAGAGATCGACTAGCTAGGTAAGATTTGCATTAAAGCCCATTTTCACATCATTTATTAAAATCACCTTAGGATTGAAGATACACAGTTTTAAGAATTGGAAATTATTGACAATTAATTAAAGACTAAATTGTATCGGGAAAAAATTATTTTTGGGGCAATGAATGAATTTCTTGCGCAAAGTAGCGAGTAACAGCGATGTGGTAGCTTTCTATCTATAAGTTTGGTATCATAATTAAATTTTTAAATGACGAAACGGCAAGAGTCTCTTTCGACGCACATTCGGGCATGAATTGCATCATCAGGGAAAACAACTGCATATTATAGCGCGACAAGTTGGTAACTTGCCAAACACATAGCAATTTGAATAGCGACGCGATATATTTAGACAATATTTTTCTATGATATTATCGCTCTATATATATATATATAAAAATGTCGGCGGGATGCGATGGCACACGTATCTGCATGCATGCATATACGCTCGTGCACTTACACACACATATGCATATATATATATATATATATATATATATGTGTGTGTGTGTGTGTGTGTGTTGTTGTTGTTGTTGTGTGTGTGTTTCCGCGCGCGCGCGCAAATATCAGACTTGTCGAAGGAAAGTACAGAGTAGAAGTGAAAATCGTCAAATAAAATTGCTAAAACTTGAAGGAGCTTACGTTATTGATGTGAAATAGCGAGAATGTTCATATACACATTTTCATATATATAATTTTCATAGCCTACTTTTCTTAAAAACTGGAAAATCTACGCTGTAAAGAAGATATGCATCAATTTTTTACTATTCCATGTAGGAGAGAGAAAATAAGCACCTTTATAATATTCTAATAAGTATAATTTTATCTTCTCCTTTTTTTCTCAGTTGAGAATTTTTTAATGCCAATATATTTAGAGTAATTATCGAATTTAATAACAATATATTAAGAAATGAATAAATATTTTTCTCTCTTAATATTTTAAAAATTATGAGATATGAAGAAATATAATATATAACAATTGTGGTTAAGATGATTTTGATCATCCGTATTTATAAAAATATACATATATATTGAAAGAATATATATACTCGTATATATATTGGGTTGAACGGAAAGTTCGTGCCGTTTTTTACTAACAGATGAAGACCAAAAAAACGGCACGAACTTTCCGTTCAACCCAATATATAACGCAACAACAGTCTGCTTTCAATTGATAATGCATACATATACAGGGTGTCCGGTAAAGATTGTGCCAACGCTCGTGAGCGGATAAAGCATAGTAAACTGAACAGAAAAGTTCTGTAACATTTTGTTCTATAACGCTTAATAAAGGAATTATTATCGAGTAAAGTCCGGTCAATCAGCACCGACTTTTAGCCGGACGCACGTCGGTGAGCAACCCGTTTGGTAGTGTGCGCCGCCGTAGCGACGGAGCGCTCACGCACACTACCAGGCGCGCGACTAAAGGCCGGCGCTGATTGGCAGACTTTACTCAATAATAACTCCTTTATTAAGCGTTATAGAACAAAATGTTACAGAACTTTTCTGTTCAGTTTACTATGCTTTATCCGCTCACGAGCATTGGCACAATCTTTACCGGACACCCTGTATACATGTCAATTGTCTTGCCTTAATGTTAATGCACATATGTGCTATTAATTAATTCGACTTGCACGTGACTGTTTTGTCGTACGTCAAAATAACTGTCAATATGTTCACGCATACCTATAGATATTGGATTGCACAATGTGTTTAGTGTTCGTTTATAGATAATTTTTATCTATTTTATATATTGCAATTACATGATGACAAATTATTTTATTAAGAGTTTTTTGAGAATCGCTTTTTATTGTACTATGTCTCTTTTTTGTCATTGCTCAAGTTTTTAATTATCGATCGCGTATAACGGAATGTGCGCCCTTCCAGAACCGCGTGTTAGTGTGTATTGCGAAGGTGAACGTGCTCAACTGCATGCGAGGGGACGTTTTCTTCCGGCTCAGATAAATGATGCAACAAAATTGTAGTTTGCTTAATAAAACTCTTTAGCACAAATAAATAATTTTTCGACACTTTATGGAATGACAAAATTACGTTTAATTTAGTATTGCATTTAATTGATATGTATGTACATGGCGTTTTAATTACAACGAATGGCGTGAGTCTTAAAAAAGTTGTGCTTTGCTTGAAAATATAAAATTTGTCTTTTTTTTACTATATTTGTCAGTTTCTCTAGATAAAAAATCCTATTCAATTTTTGCGGGTGCCAAATCAATATTCGACAATAAAGGTCTAGTTTTTTTTTTTTTTTTTTTTTTTTTTTTTTTAGTTTTTTTATAGTAATATATTTGAATTTATGAATAAAATTTTACAGCTCGACTCGACGACTATGACGAGAGATTCGTGTATTGCAAAAATATCTCTCCTGCACGCTCGTACATGATGGATCACGCGTGCGATGTGCGTGCTTGTACAGAAATTCTGGAGCCGGAATGATAAGAGCAATGTACTAACAATAAGATTTCGAGGCGAGATATAGAATCAAATGTGATACCCGTCGTCAATTAACAAGCGGACAAGCGGATGAGAACCGCACGCGACATTGGTGACGATCAAATGTCAGTCAAGGTCAAAGATCGTTATAGATAAAATCAAGCGTAAAATATCAGGTATTTCTTTCGAAACGATATCCATAGAAAGACATGAAATTTTCCCGTGTGACAGCACACGAAGACTCACCTGTCTGTGGAAATGTGGACCGATTCGTGTGTGAAAATCGTGCGCGTGTATCAATCCGCTTGTGTAATCCAGCTGATGGTTGGAGTGCGACTGAGAGGGACTACGCGAGCCGTCGTCGGTTTCAAAGTCTTTCTGATTGCGTGTGTATTTGTCACGCGCGTGCGCTCTCACTCTCTCGTTTATGCGGGTACTCAACTCGTATGGGACGAGCGCGCGATCAGCTGGTCAGTGCCTTCGTTTGACCTTAAGCCTGGGTTCAAAAGGGGAGAATGCATAATTTAATCTCTTGTACAATTTCTCTAGAACACATTCGTAAAGCGGACGATAATAATGATATAAATTCGAGAAATGCATGCAAACAAAAATATGTGATATGAAATATAATTAGAAGAAAGTAAAACAAAGATAGATATATAACTTACAATTAATATTCGATTTCATTCTCATTAATAAACATTATTTCAAGACAATTGCTGATCATACATTGTGATTATCTTATCACACAACTAAACACATGCATATTATGTATGAACTAAACTCAATTAATTAAAATTGTCTTACAATGTCCGAGCAAATTTTCTTGAATGACATCGTTTTGCAGCACACTCGTTTGTTACGTTACTGGTGTATACCACGTGGTGAATGAACTATCTAAGAAAGAGGGCATTGGAGCATCGCTGGTGAAGACAACATATCGACTAGTACATAGACAGACAAGTCCAAGCACAAGAGCTTTGCGCTGAGAACCGTCACTTTAAAGGTCACTCAAGGGCACCTTGCTCGACATTCACCGAAATTGACGAGCACATTTTCCAAACGTTATTAAAGATTGATGCATCCGTTGATGCGTGCGTTAGTATCGTCGGAACGTGCCTCCCTTTTTACATTCGTCAAACTGTCCTATCGCGAGTAATAAGTTCGTTGATAAAGTGAACTCGACCGATCCTTTTTGCTTTGCATCTTATCTGCCAGTGAACTCTAAGTGATATGATTTCTTCGGATTTCCATTTTCATTGAATCATTCTGTAATTTTTTCACATCATATTTATTCGATGTGTTCGAAATTTTTTTTTACATTACCAAATATATGAAAATGTTGGTACAAGTATTGATAATAGTGAATGCAAATGAGATATAAATATGTTTATGCTATTTAATTTTTTTATATATGGAGAGTTTGATAAAGATTATATTTTGAATAAAAAATAATATTTTTGTAGGTATCACGCCGTTTTAGCGTCACGCGTGCAAAATAATTTATCATTATTTAGACGGCGTTCCGATATTCATTGCCAGTACTGAAAATCTATAATTTACATCACGTACATTATAGATTTTCAGTACTGGCAGTGAATATCGAAATTATTATTAATTATATTTACCTCACCAAAAAAAATATGATGTAGAAAGTAGCTTTATCCTTTATCATTTTTTCATATAAAAAAATATGCTTGTAATAGGATTTCGTAAAATTTTATAAGCATGTGCTTTGTGTATAATAATATAAAATAAGTATATCCAGTATCTAATTAACTCGATTTTTGTAATGTTCTTACGATCAAAAGATATCATTGGTATTTCGAGTGCACGTTTCATTCTCCCCGAATTGTAACTCTCCTAAAGACGCTTTGGAGCATAATTCGGCTCTTTCAAGGAAGATGACTTGAGCCTTATTTATATTCTCCAGATTGTTTTTCCAAATTTTCATTGCCGCATTCTATGGCAAAGCATAGTAATATAAGTTTCAGAAAGGCCAAGTTAAATTTTAATGTTTTTAAAACTTTAACATAAGTTTATTATAAGATTTTCTAAATTATTCGCGCTTTCCTTATTCCATTTTTTTTTTTTTTTTTTTACCGTTTATAGTCTTCAATATTTTGCCAAAGAATTTATGACGAAAAATACTATTAATGACTTTAAATAATTAAATTTTTAATTATTTACAAAATTCACGTGACTTTAAATGATTAAATAAATTTAATTATTTTAAGTCACGTGAATTTTGATGTATGTACCTGCAGAGCACGTCCGTAACAGAAACTGAGTCTCCACGGTTTTTTATCATCGTGCATGTTAATTGCGTTAAGATTTAACACAGATTCTTCGTCATTTTGACCACCGCTCAGAAAAAAGATTGCCGGAATTGCTGTGGGAACTGTTCTTCGTAATGCTCTTAATGTATACTCAGCAACGATCTGTAATACAAATTTTTTTGTGACATTAATACATCAACAATTTACAAAATATTAATTTATTGAATATAAAAATTTAATTTTATAAAGTTTTACATTTTAAAAACAATAATTATTAATAAATTATTAAATACTTAATATTTATGATAAAGTATTTTAATCAATTTATTATTATTCTAATTTCTTTAGGCAAATATTAAATAAAAATATATTCTTAAGAAAAAAAGATATCACAATACGTATATATATGTTTAATCTTATCAAAATTTATTAAACACCTGCGGTGTGCATCTTGTAGGTTTTTGAATTCTCGACAACACCATTGCTGGCTTCAAAACCATCCCCTCAAGATACACGTGATGTTCGTTTAATGTACGAAATAGAGTGGACAGCATCTCTTCATGAACTCGCAGAGCTCGATCTATATCGTATTCGCCGTTGTTCAATATTTCCGGTTCCACTATGGGAACCATTCGCGCGCTCTGGCAAATGCTGGCAAACCTGAATAAGAACAAAGAGCTACTCGAAAATACATTAACGAAAATATGTTATACATTATACATAATGGAAATTCTATATTGCGCAATGACCGTTTCCAAACTGTACATTTTATGCAATTTCCATATGCAAATTATTGCTTTTATAATTCTATCAAATTTTAAATTTTTATCCATGTACAACACAATTATCGTATTGTCAAAACTATGAAAAGCATACATATATAGCTTTTATGACATATTCGATGAAGTTTATTGCGCAGCACAAATGCATAAATTTTTACGAGCTTGTGTCAAACGCGATATGTAAGTACGTGCGAATATCGAAATGGCCAAACACCTCGCGAGAACGTTTGCGTTGATGTTCATCGCCAGTTGACTAGGACATCGTTCCGAAATTGAAAAAACGCATCTCCACTTGGCAAAATGGCAGCCCTCCTTTTTGTAGCGAATACAATTTTCCCATAGGTCATCCAAACCTTGCGTGGTTTTCTCGTCCTCGGTGCCTAGAAGCGGCACCAGGCCTCGATCAACCTTGATGCCGGCTACAATGTTCCTTTGACGCAGCAACTCGACAAATTCCACATTTTTCGATGTTTTCTGATAGATTGTTTCGTGATGCAGAATCACGCCGCTTATATATCGCGAAAGTTGAGACTGAAAGATCGAAAGCATATGAGATTACTATAATATATGTATATAATATATATTGTTATACTGTGCACTAAACGTATATATCGATTTGAGAGAGAAATAATTAATAATATTCGCTGAAATTCTCCATATATGTATAGTTCAAGATAGTACGAATAAGAAATATGCATGTTACATATTCCTGAATAAACAAGTTTTTAATAATAAAAATTAATTAATTATATAACAAGTTTACATATATACTGACTTTTAGGGAGAAAGAGATTGTTATTTTTACATCTTTTACCTTTATCTCTATTTCGATAATGTTTGCAGAGAATAAATTGTTCAAATGCATTAATTTAATTATTGTTTGTTATACTCTTAAATACAGTATTGAGATTGTAGCTATATTTAGAATCTATTGCGTAATGTTTTTCTCGCGCAATTTAAAATTTTGATCGTTGTATATAGCGACCTTATCTGCAGACAACAGCATCTCTCGATAAGCACATCTCGTGACCTCGGTGTTTTCTATACCGAGCTCTTGGAACCTTTGGTCCAGACTCGCCGGTGACTCGTCGCAAGCTAACAGTCCTTTTCCAGATGTGGCGATCGCCTCGATGATCTTTTGTAGTTCCAGACAAACGGCAGGATCGAGTTTGGTGCATTTTGTGGATGATGAAATCTAAATATGTTGTACAAATAAAAGATGAGTACTGATATAAAAATTTTCCAATAAAATATATATTCAGAGATAATAAAATAACTAATTAGTAAAAAAGCTTTTTATATTCTAATTTGGTATATATTTAGCAGTAGATATATTGTGGGTCTTAACAGCAGTTGGAATACATGTTGGAAGAGAGGTATATTAAAATATAGAGATATTTTTTTATCATAAACTCTCTTGCTCTCTCCCTCTCTCTCTTTCTGACGCGTATGATTGACGTCAAATATTTAAATATATCGAAAAATATATTCGATTTTAATGACTGTTAATGAAATTTATTAATAACCCAATGACACGTTTTACTGCTGATTACCGATATTTGCGAGATATCGTACAAAGGGTAGAACGTGATATTCGTAAATAAACCGGCTATAAAGTTGTCTTGCAAAATCAAATTAAATCACGATAGCACAGATACACGATTACGTTTTGTGCTTCTGAGAATCTCGTTTTATTACGCGAATTTGATATAAACGATATATCCAAAGAGAGACTTTGCTCTTATTTGTGATTGATTATTTTTAGCCAATACAGATCTGCTTCTAAGATATATAATATACGATTTAATTATTTGTATACATTAATAAGAAAATATAACAACTTATTTTTGTGTATTTAATTGCCGAGTATTTGTAACTAATAATATATAAAAATATCTCTTTTTTATATTGTCAAATATAATTAACATTAATAATACAGCGGCGACATATATTATGATAATAATAAAGCGTTAAGGTTACCTTGTCTTTGCAGCAACATTTTTCTCCAAATTGCATAATTTTCTGACGCCGAAGAGCAATGATATATTATAATATATTTTTTTATTAATTTATTCAATCAATGTATTATGTCATTTACGTACTTATTAACATATGTGATTGTATAAACAATTACTAAAAAGATTTTCGTCAAGCATAAGCATAAAAAAGAGCCGAAATGTGCATTAATTGCGATTTTGATACAAAATCGACATTTTTTAGAAATCGAAACGAGCGACGAAATCGAAATCGAAAGTATATCGAAATTCGATCGCAGAGGTACTGTCAATATATGCTATTTTAATGAAATAATTTTACGTAATATATATATATATATTATTTTCAAATGTATTGTACGACCTAGAAAAAGCGTTACACGAAAAACGGCAGCGTGGCGACTCTCATTCTTCTCTCTGATGTTACATGCTGAACCATCCTGGACATATTCAGGATGATCCTGAGGACGTTTTGTGCTGTCTGGGATACCTCTTTGCAAAATAGATTCTTCTAATATCTCAGCCACCGACGAGATATCATTAAAGATACCGGTATAGTCTTATGGGATTTAGTGTGACTGGAAAAAAAACTCGCTGCGCGTTATTTTTGTTCATCCAGTTATTGTTTTATTATCGAAAATGTATAGATCTTTTATATAACTGCCTCAAGAACAACAAAATAAACATTTTATTGTAAATTTACTGTTTTATTATCGACAACGCAAATATTTACTTACCTACAGTAGCGCGTGGCGAGTTTTTTTCTAGTAATATATATGTTAAATCCCATAAGACCATCAGTCTCTAATGATATCTCGTCGGTGTTTTTGATAATAAAACAATAACTAGATGAAGTAAAATAACCGTATGAATTAAATAATTCGTGTAATTATCTTCGATGCAATCAAACGGCCGGTAATGTCAACATTCTTCAATTACCTCCGGGCCCACCGGGCCCACTTGATGGTCACAAAAATTTGCCCAGGTCTGACGGTCTTTAATAGTATCTCGTCGGTGTCTCAGCGAAAAAAAGTGTGGACATAGGCCATAACTTTAATGGGTGCTTTCCATTTAGTGACTCAAGTTGACACAAGCATCATTCTATCTTTGTTGTTCATTGGTATTGAAAGAAGATAGAATGATACTTGTGTCGACTTGAGTCACTAAATGGAAAGCACCCAATAGCGCTTCGGATGTTCTTTGTTCTATTGATCACAGTCTCTGGTCTAGTTTCCACCGTAAGTATCAATTCGCATCTAGCGCGGCGTAGGACTAAATTTAAGTCGATGGAAACGTTAAATTTGATGCGCACCGAAACAGAATCGGACCGATGACTTCGGTGGAAACCGCGGTCCTACGCCGCGCTAGATGCGAATTAATACTTCGGTGGAAACTAGACCCCTGATGGCTTCCGCACACAGGCACACAGGACGCGGCAAACACTTTTCGCGCGGTAAAAGGCGAAGCAATAATCAATCAATTTTTCGCTCTTATGGACAAATTATAAGTTAATTAGCCGCGTCGCCTTTTGCCGCGTGACAATGGGCGCGTTCGCAGAGAAAATCGCTCAGTAGCAATCGAACGTGATTGGCTCTTACTTTTAAAACCAACAAATCAACGTCGAGTGTTGACAAGACAATAACTGAGCGCTTTCTCTGCCGAACGCGCCCATTGTGCGATAGGCTTAAGCATCATGTGGTGGACCATACAACATACAATTCTTACATAAAAGTATGTATGAGCTATAGCTGACATCGTTGATATTATTTTATTCGATAAAATATAAAACTTTTGCATGCAGAGAGTTAAGCACAAATTTTTCCGCGATCTGTTGTACTTGAATTGAAAAGATATCCAAAATGTTTGTAGACATTTTTTTTTTGTTATTGCTTATTGCTATAAAAATACTTTGTAAAATTTCATAGCCGCTTGCGTAACGCTTAAAAGTATATGTATGTACATACATAAATATACGTTATACTACATACTACATACATCGTTGAACAACTGTGAACTGTGAACAACAAAAATGGCGTATCGCGGTGTAAAGGGATCCGATCCATTTGTGTCAAAAACTTCGCGAAATGAACGTTTTGCGCAAATGTCAAAGCAAGAACAAATTATCCAACAAAAGAAATTGGAAATTCAAGCGAAAATGCAAGAACAGAAAGCAAAAGAAGCCGTAGAATGCATGAAAAAGTCAAATTCGTCAGCTTCGACCACAACAGTTAGTAAAGGCAATTGTCTAAAGTAAGTCTCCTCCGCGCTCATCATTATGTTATATCAATTCAATCCCGGCAGTTGAAGCTTATCATTATATAATTTACTCGCTTAGTATCTATATTGATTAATTAGGAAATATAAGAAGCAAAATTCATCATTTATTTGCGTATCTATAGGGAGGAAGATGAAAAGTCTATCGCATCCCTTTCTATGAATGTATTTGCCAATGATGGTAGTTTTCTCGATCAATTTAAGAAAATAGCAAATAAAACAACTGGCAGACAAGAAACTCAGCAGGATAAACCTGAAGATAAAAAGAAAGATGAGAAAAACTTTGAAGCTAGAGAAAAAGACAAAGAAAGAAAGCGGGATGAAGAAAAAAATAGAGATTGGGACAGTAGAAGAGATCGTAGGAGAAATGATTCACGTTGGGGAAGAAATTTGGATAGAAAACATAGTTCCTCCTCAAGTCCATCACCTACAAGGCGGAGATCGTCGCCTAGTCCTGAGACACGGCGTAGTTATAATCAATCGCAGAATGGACAACATGCACAATTTAATCAATTTCCAATTCAAAGTAATAATCATGCTTCTTCCATCCCATCTCTTATGTCTCAATCGGTGCAAATGCAAATGACAAATATTCCGCCCCCGAATATAAGAAATTTGACACCAAGCGTTTCATCCGCGCATTTGCAGAGGATACCAGTGTCAAAGAATTTTAACAATTACACAAATATAAGTGATCATTCTAACAACGTTAGAATGCAAATTGCACCACCCCATATTATACGTCCTGCTCTCCCTATCCAAACCATTCCGCCTAATACAAATATTCCACCACCAAACATGCAATTATCTCAATCTATGCCAATGTCTAACTTATCTTCATCATCGAACGGACAACAGCACATTATACAAAATTCACAACAATGCAACATACCACCTCCATCATGTAGCACTAACTTACAGCATCCAAATATTCCACCACCTAACATACCACCGCCGAATATTTTACCATCGATGTCGCAAATGCCACCGACCATGATACCTATTACGGGCTCACAAGCCATCGTGGTGACAGTACCAAGCGTAGCCAATGTTCCTCCTCCAAATGTGATAACATCCATGATAATGTCGGCGCCTCCACCAGTGCATACCGTTCCATCAACGATTAATTCGGTTCCACCACCAAACTTGAATATTCCTCCGCCGAATGTTCCACCTCCCACTGTTATTCCGAATACAGCATCATCGCGCGGTCTTGTGCCCACTGGCTATGTTCTTTCTAATCAGGTATCTATCTCGGTGGGCCCCCCTAATATTCAAATACCACCGCCTGTGAGACCACCGACTAATCTACAGAGTCCTGAACAACAAGGTAAGATATCACAATTGAGGAATATATATATATATATATTTTTTTTTTTTCATAATGTTATTTATAAGCAGAAAAAAGATTCTTGTTTCTCATCTCTCTTGTGCCATTTTAATATTGTGAATTGTTGGAAAGATTATTTCTTTGTGAGACATGGTATTTTTAAATGGAATTATATAAATAATATTTTTTTATTTCTATCTGAATTATGAATATGATATATGTATATATGTATGTATATAAAATATAAAAAGCGCGAATTAAGATATTATTATACAAAGTGTCTGACAAAGGGTTCTAAGTGTGTCTAGTAGAGGCTGAGCAACTGGCACGTATCGTGGCTGACTGCGGAGATGAAATTGAACAAGAAGTGCGAGAGAAGAATGCTCAAGATCCTAAATTATGGTAACTACTGTCCTCACTGGTCCTTAGTATTTCCATTCCCTATTCCTAATTTGTAATACACAACATTAATACTTTTATAATATTTCTCTGGGACATTTTTTTGTTTTATAGAATATTGTACAAATATTTATTATACATTTCTTAATAATATCTCAGTAACACGAAAAATTGAATACACAACTTTGTTAAATGTCTGCTTAATGTGAATTGTTGCAAATATATGTGCTTGCATTCCTAAATATCAATTATATTGCAAAAAAATTTGTTTATTATAACAAACACGGGTGCGCGTGTATATACATATTTCTCATATTTTCATAAAACAACTTACATGACATATTTTAGATTTAATAAACTTGCCAATAATATATACATTCTAACATTAAATATATTCTTTTTTGTAATTACAATAACGATATTACATACATATTATATATTTGACTCACTTTTCTATGACTTACAATAGTGTAAAGAATTGTTCATGTTTTTATTATAATAGAATTATTTAATGTACATGTTCTGCTAATATAATATTTTATGTGCACATAAAGAAAACGTTTATATGTAAAACTACGAGAAAATGTTACAAAAGATATAATTGTAAAAAAGCTTGAGACAAAAATGTGATTGTTTTATTGAATTTTTGTATGTGTCACATAAAATTTGTAAGCATATATATTATCTATCTATTCTGTAGGCATTATATTTCATCTTTTTGGATATATTTATCTTCAAGTATATCGGGTTTTATTTTATTATTATCTCGTTTGCAACATGTTTGTTTAGCAAAACCATAATATATCTAATCATTATATAGATAATCAGTTACATAATAAAAATAGTATAACGAGATGAACAGTATTAATGATAAAAAATTCTAAAGTGATATATGATATTTGCATATCTAAAGTGATATATGATATTTGCATATCTCTCTCTAATAAATATGTAAGAATGTATCAGATGTTTATGCTGCACGAGCAATGTGAAATGCTTTAGATTTTACAAGTTTGAAATTTGATATAATGTGCCCTGTAGCATTAATAAAAAAAAGATATTTATTTTTTTTATATAAGAAATTTTATTGCATATCTCTTTAGTCATATTGCATATATCTTTTGAAATGTATTACATATTTTTTAAATCTTTAGTTATTTCTTGTTTTTGGTGTGTATGTGCGTGCGTGCGTGCGTGTTCTCTCTCTCTCTCTCTTTAATTCTGAACAAAAAGTTTTCTATAAACATGGGTCGAAAAATACTTCCTTAAAAAATTAGCGCCCAAAAACCTCTAAAATCACGATTATTTTATACATATATTTAACAAAAAGTACCGAAACAAAAGTTGTGGAGAATTAAATTATTTTTCAAATAAGATCAAAATGATTGTAGTACGTTCCATAGATTTTGAGATAACAATTAATACACCTTTGCCGAAAAAACACTTTATTGTACATTTGAAACTGGTTATCTCAAAACCTATGGAACGTATTACAATCATTTTGATCTCATTTGAAAGATAATTTAATTGTCTACAACTTTTGTTGCAATACTTTTTGTTAAAAAACGCATACTTTTCCTGATATTTGCAAAAATGTGTAAAA